TGTGTGTGTGTGTGTGTGTGTGTGTGTGTGCTTTATTCTTCAGTTGCTAATGTTTCTTCAGTTTCTTTAATTGCTCTATTCATCCGTTTTGATTATTGGTTATTGCAGTTATTTTCTATTGGTCAACAATGGCATGTGGTTCAGGCTCAACAGAAGATCAAACAGGACAGAACACAAACAGTAAGAAATGCCTTTACTATCAGCAATAACATCCCGTTAGATAAGTTTCTCATAAGAAATCTGTTTTTTAATTTCATTTCATTTCATTTCATTTTCTATTACTGTATTTTATTTTAATTTTTACCTTATTTAATAATAACTGTGTTATCTGGTGTGATCCTATTATTGACGATGAGAGGCAGACATGGGTCGTAATTACTGATGTTGCTGTGGTTATCTGCTCCCTCACTCCCACTGTTTGTCTCCATCAGATGAAGTTGAATTGTGTCCTAATCCAGTTTATCATTCTTTGGACCAGGGTGACACTCAACCTCCAGGTAAAAATCATTCTGATATTACAGTATAAGTCTGCACATAATATTTAGTAAAATCTGGTTAAAAAGTACAATTGCTCTACCCTCTAGAATTTTCCATGACCCCACAGCTGTGTCATCAGTACCACTCATCCTTCAACTCTTCATTATCTTCACAGCTTCACATTTCCTCCTTACTAATGCTCTGCACTTCCTGATTCACTAAGTTTTCTCGATCTGCCCTCCCCGCTCTCTTATTTGCTGATCCCTTCTTTTGTACACTTATTCATTCTGCCATCAAGTCTAATCATCTTCTTTGGTCTGTCGACCAAACACTGACATTTTCCTAACAGAACATGTTTCAGCACAGCCATTTTGATCATTTCACAAAACCATTCTTCTACCTAATACGAAATAAGAAATGAACATTTTATTGCTAGTATAATATCACATTGTTGCCAAAATATACAATACTATGACTAACTGTTATTTTGTACTCCTTTAATAATTATGTTGGTATTAAATTGTTCTCCCTGTTTATTGCATCTTTTATCACAATTTAAACAATGTTATTGCTGAGATGTGATGAAAAGTGTTGTAAATAAGTGATTGAATTAGATTCAATTTTGTTAACCAACATATTCAATTCCATCTCTCTTCAAACAGAAACAGTGAAAACCACAGTAGCATACATGGCTTCACCAGGTATCTACCAAGCTGTGGCAGAGGATGCTTGCTATTCTACAATACCGTAGGTAAGACTGAGAACAATGATGCCTTATGCTCTGCATTCACCTAACGTGATGAATAGTTGAGACTAGTGAATTACTGATGAATCACTGGTTGCAACACCATTGGCAATCACGTTTTTGTGATACCTGACAATGAGTCTTTCACTTCAACATGATTTTGCAGCTCTTTCCAGATGACTTTGTTTCTCCATGCTTTCGTTTCTTTTCAATCGTGACATGATCATGTTGCTCTTTAACCTGCTTCTCTGGTTCTTTTTAAGTGATTTCTTGATTCAGTAAGAGTGGCAATATTCATGTCTGGGTATGACTAGTGAAGTTGAACTCACTGTTCCAAAAAAATAACATTTAATAACAAACTTGTCTTACAACAGATATCAATGTTTCTTGGCGTTAGTTCATGTGACATGAGTCTTTTGTAACATAACTGTATCATAGACACTAAAAATTCAAACATAAAACAAACAAAATGTTAAATTTATTTCATCCACTCATTCTTTTCTGCTCCTTGATTTCAGTGTTGCTGTTGGGTTGGAGCCGATCCTAGGAAAGGTATACCTTGGACAGGTCGCCAGTCTATCATGGGTCTGTAGCATGTCCTCAACTTGTGGAGGCATCATGGGATATTTGTGAACATACCCATGTAAACCACTGATCTCCGCCAACTCCGCCTTGAACAACACCCCAGGCCAAACCAGGACCAGGGTTTTGATAAATTGGATAAGTCTACCACAGCCCACTGTGTATGCCCTTGGCACCTTACCAGAATGCTGTATTTCCCTCCTGGACTGAGATCATCTTCATCAGTATAGGTGGGCAGCTTCCTGCAAGTTGGAAGGACCACCCTTAGCCACTAAGGAGTAAAAGCAGATGAAATAGGGCTGATTCATTAACATCTAGTGACCAGAAGATTGGTGGTTCAATCCCTGGTGGCTCCAGTCTGCATGCCAAAGATCCTTGGGCAAGATGTTAACACCAAGTTGCTCTCTGATGCATCCATCAGAGTGTGAATGCTAAAAAAGCTCTTAAGCATAGAAGATAGTGCTTTTGTTAATGGATGAATAACGCATGCTGTATAAAGTGCTTTGAGTACTCTGGGAGAGTAGACTCAGAATCAGTTCATAGACAGAACATGCAGACCGCGTATAAAAAGCCATCAGCTGGCCCAAGAAATCATAATTACACTATGCAAATGAAATATAAAATTTGTAAACTGTAATCACTCCCAACCTTTTGTAAGATAAATCTCACTTTAAATTATCAATCATAACTTGAAATTGAAAGTT